TGCTCCTGTGGCTGGGGGTAGTTTGACTACTTGAACACGAATACTGCAATTGTCCATTATCGTCATCATCGTAACGGGCGCCAACGTCACAGTTGGTTTTGGCGCCTGCGTAGTCCACGTACGAGAAGTTCCATACCAAGTGAGCGTGATATCATCAGCATATTTCCGAGGAGTAAATTCTGATCAACGTAAACCTGATCAACGTAAACACGGAGAGAAATTCAAGCGAAATCTTATCGCGATCCCAAAAAGTAGGGGGCTAGCTGGCCAGTAGTGCCGGAAGTCCGTCAAAAGAACGGGAAGTCTTATCTTAGCGTCTTGGGATGGTGGAGAATTTGATGTAAATTCTAGGCTTACGAGACCTACATTGGTGATGGTGGAGTGCAACTGTCTGGCGGACAGAAACAGCGCATCGCTATCGCACGGACTTTGGCACGAGATCCAAAGGTGGGTTCTTGTGTCTTTAAATAAGTCTCTCCAACAAAGCTGATTTCAGGTTCTCCTGCTGGACGAGGCAACAAGCGCTCTTGATGCTCAAAGTGAGAGCATTGTTCAGGTGCGTGAAATCGGGAGCTCTGCACCACTTAGAGTTGCTGTAATTTCTTGAATATGATATAGTCATGCAAGCGGCTTAGGCGTAAAAAATTCAGAATTTAACATTCGGACCGCGAACCCTACAAGAGGCACCACTTGCTACTTCACAACTGAATTCGTGCACTCCATACGGCGTTCACTTTTGGTGTGCGAAACCGCTCAAGGGGCAGGGTAGTGTCATACATGACACCTGCAGTTTTAGCGAATGTTGTTTTTCTCGTTGCACGCGCGCTATTGACTTAATAGCCTTTTCCATCCCCGCTTGACGATAGATTTGGAGAATTTGGTAATAGCGTAGGTGGGTTATGAGAAAGAGTCATAGCGGAGGAGGAGATTTGGGTGTTGTACCATAAGTCAATATGATGGAGATGAGGCTGCGAATTTCATTGCGGAATGCACGGCTGCGCACTTCATTTCGATATGGCGTAGGATGCGCTTTTTCATGGGGTGTCACCATACAAGAAAAAATCGCTATTCACAACGTGCGGTCGTGGGATGCGCCATCGAGGGTCGGAACATTAATTGTTAGGAAGTCGACAGTTGATATGATTCAACTCAGAAGCAAGGGGAGGAACAGTACAAGGTGATTTCAGTCTGACCACACTCCAAGGCACTCGCCATAAGGAGCGTAGGTATTGATGATGAAATGTTTAGGAAAAATTATCAGGTGACTCGTATGTGAAGAGAAAATGCTAAAACGAACGTCGGCAACGCCTCTAATAAGGCCCCTCTAGCCTCAAACTACTGTGCGGGTAGAAGGTCTGAGGTTTGTGTGTTGGGACGAGTCCAGTCGGCTGATTCCTTATAATGAACCTACGACCCTATACAAGACAGCAGAGTATCTGTTTGATGTTACTTGTCCGGTACCATTGATTTGGCTGGACGCGGACTTAGAAGGCGGACTCTGGAGGCGGAAAATAGGGAGATCACCAAAGAAAGTTGCTCCTTAACTCTTTCACCTTACAACTTTCTGCGGCGAAACTGGTAAAAGCTTGTCCACTGCTGACCACACTACACTTCCCACACGATTTTGCATCTTCATAGACCATCGATTCCTTCATGTGTTGCTCCGTGTTGTTTTGGTTCTAATACGGCTCCTGTGGTCATTTTGTGTTCTTCGAATCTACCTTCCTTATGAGAAATGATTGCAGTCCGCTCTCAACAATGCCTCTCGTGGCCGTTCGACGATAGTGATCGCCCATCGCTTGTCAACCATTAGAAGTGCCGACAAAATCGTGTTTTTTGAAAAGGGTCACATTGCAGAACAAGGAACACATGAAGAACTAGTGGCTTCACGTGGGAGGTGACATTTATCGGCTATATGTCTACACTTTCTTCCGCTGAGAATTTTTTATGCATCAATCTAATGAAGGCGGAGAAAAGCAAGATGATAAGAATCTTGTTTCCTACCGTTTCAATAGTCAAAAGAGCGTTGGTGAAAAAGGGGCGATTCTCGTCAAACATTTTGGGGATAATCATGCCGTTAGGGTCACACCAATACATATTAGGTTGGTCCGGAAGGAATGCGCGGTCGGCTTTAAAAATTTTGTTTTTTATAAAACGAAATTAGACAGATAATTCAACAGACAATCTCATTTAGTATCAATGACTTTGTTTTCACGATTTCTGGTCAAAAATTGGATGTCCTTTCTTGAAGAAATCGCGACCGGCTCCGACCCAAAAGAGTTGGACACCGGTTGGGATATTTTCAGACGTTTGTGAATTTTCTCTCGGCCAGGATTCTGGCATCGAGCCTGGAACAGATGGGTTAATACGATGGGTGCCCAGGTTGGATCTGATTGTGAGCGGATGAGGCAGATTTGCGACCCCATTCCTCAATTTTTTTTCTAGACTTCAGTGTTTCGCCAAATGTGGAATGAGCGTTGTCGTGGATAAATTTTGTCGACGTCGTTTCGACCTTTGAAGAGCAGTGCTGGGATCCATGCGGTTCGAATTGAGCTGTTTGGGCAGATGTCAGCCTAACGGTCTGACCCGATTCCGGAAACTTCAAAGTACATCAACGTTGCTATTCCACCAAACACGGAGGCATTTCACCTTTTTGCGCGATATCAGGTTTCGGAGCTCCGTTTTTCGAGGGTCGTGGCAGTCTAACCACTGTCCTAATTTCCGTTGCGTTATTGAGGCAGCCCTTTTCTCACTTGAAGTGTATAAGGGTAGAGTCGAAAAATCGGCTAGTTCTTGGACGCTTCGTTGATTGCCTGGTTTGCGTCGACCTAGTGGTGCCGGCACCGCTGCTTCGCCAACTTTTTTTCCCCAAAAGCATAAGTTAGACATGATAGAATATTATCAAGAGGTACAATAATAAATCTCTTTTAATAGACAAACTGTCTTCCAAAAATCTTCTATAGTAGGATGAGAACAATGACAAGTTCAGATAATTCAACGCGATTCCTTTCGGACAATTAATAGGTTCCTGTTGAGCTTTTCATATTGAGCGGTTACTACGAATTGCGTGAAGGCACAGCAGGTCCCGAGCAGAAGAAGTTGAGGAGGAAGAATCGATTTAGGGGATAGGGGCCTTCCCTGCCAGTGGGACTATCGTCAGTTAGGATTTATCTTTGACTTTCCCAGGGACATGATAACAGACGGGTTCTCAGATTTCTCGCGCTCAACAACTAACTGGAGACATTAAAAGGTGAGGCTCCACTGTTTTCTTTCCTACTACTCTCTGTGTTTTCTTTCACTACTCCTACACCATTATATGGCTCCTACTATATTATATCCGCTATGCGTGTCGTGTGTGTGTCTGGTGTGTGTGTGTTTGTGTGTGTGTAGTTGTCAACGAAATTCATTTAGCGAGAGTCGCAGAAAAGATAGGCATGCAGCTACAGAAAAGTGCTATTAATGGCAGGCGGGACACCTTTTGGTGGTGTCAGGAGGTTGTCTCTTGATAGATACGATATAGCGGCCGTCAGAAGGCGGAGGCGTGAACTGAATTCGTAGCGCAAGTTGCAGCAGGTTGGTGGACCGTCATTTGTAAGGAGTGATATACATGGGCAATGACGGGAAGCACTATTTGGTGGGTGTCAGGGAGGATACTCTTGTAAGATTCGACCAAGTGGCACTTAAAAGGGGAGGGTGGCCGAATTCGTGGAAAGTTGCAGCAACGGACGGACATGATTTAAGTACTGATATGCGTAGGGATGGGGCGGCAGAAGCTGAATGAACAGTTTGGATAGATCATAAGGCCGCTCGGAATGAGGAGGGGTTCAATCAAATTGTGTGCGAGGTTACGCAACAGTGGGGAACTCAGATCGTGAGGTTGATTATAGGGTGTGGGACGGGAAATTATTGTGACGGCGACAGAAATGTAACAGTTGATAAGGTACGGTAAGCGGCTCGGAAAGGGGAGGGTCATTCGGGATTCGCGTAACGCAGGTTACAGCACATGGACCTCTGATCGAGAGGCGAATACGGACGTGAATAGTAGCTGACGATGAGACGGGGTGTTATTGGCGGGGTACGGAAGTGATAGGACGTAAAGTGACAACCGGTAAATGAGGAAAATCGGCGTGCTTCACCGGCTCACAAAACAATATAGCTGCGATCGAGATGAGCTTAGATCAAAAATACGATTCAGTGATTCCAACAGAACTCTATTCTCGATGGCTTATTAAGTAACGACATCAGCTGTACGACCGCTAGCATTATTCAAATGCATGTGGTTTGTTTACAGAGATGTTTATGATCACAGCAATGGACTTTATTCCTCTGTACCAGATTAATCTTCCATCGAGCCAACTTCAGTGCAGGGCCATTTGAAGGGTTCCACTGCTGAATGCGGTAGTGCATTCCAAAGTAAGAAGCTTTAGGAAGACAGATTGCATAAATTATAGGCTGCTTCAGTGGCTGTCCAAACAGGCTGCACTATTTCCGTGTAGGTTATGAACGTACCAGTCCGATCGCTGGCTAAGGTAGGCTTTCCTCCTTCTCTGATGCGGGGGGAGGGGCGCTGCTGCTGCTTCTGCGCCTTGACGGAACAAGCGCTGCTTTTCAGTTCTTGGCTGATGCAGAAGATTCCTTTGAACAGTTTGGTTGGTCAACGATCCTTAACTTAACACGCGGCAAATCCGCATGGTCCGGCGAAGCCTGGCCATGTCACAGAAGGAGGAGCGCCCGGCGACAGCCGGGTGATCCGACTGGTTAGCTAATAACCAGTGAATTGCCCTTTCTGAAAAGTAAATTGAAAAGCTCACGTTTGGCTCAAATAAATATTCATCAGGTAAAGGAAGCATCTTCAAAACTGACTCCTATCTGCCAACGTTTCACAAGATCATAGAGTGGCTGGGCTTTGAAGTCCGAACGATTCAAGCAGCGGAATTGTTGAGGGCTATTTCAGCACCAATCTAACATTCATTCTCTCATTGAATGAGTGTCAAACGGTCAAAAATATAGTACTTTGTAAGCTAAGCGAGGAGATATCTCATAATTGGAATCACTGTTCAACTTTGTTGTTTCTGAGATACAGTCCTCATCTTGCGGACTGTCGGAGGGCAGCTGTGCAACGCGGTCCAAAGGGGCGTTCGGCCTCGTTGCTCTACCAATGGCCATCGGGTAAAGATCGATTTGGGAGGGAGCAACCATGATAGAAACGCCGCAGGTGCGAGCTGCTGATTGCGACCCGACAACTGCGGTGATGTAAAGTGTATGTGAGAGATGTAGATGAAATGACACAAAAAGAAAAATTAAAACGGTAGCTCAAGAATCCATGTCTACGAAACGCAATGCATTGTAACCAACATAAAAGCTAGTGTTAGGCACATTACTTGATTTTCTTCTGATAATTTATTTGTCTTGAATGTGCAGACTATGTAGAATGATAGGAACATTCATAAGCTCAAACAAGAGTCACACTCAAAGATGGAAAGCTGAGAACACGTTTATTAGATCTGGTTACGATGCCTTCGTTCGTGGCCAATCGCTAAATGATTCCTTCGGACGACAATCTTATAGCCCTGAAATAGACGCAGAGAATGAAGCTCGTGCTCTGGAGGTGAAGAAGGTGATGGAAGAGGTAGGAATTGTTCTAATTCAGTTCCAAATCACGACTTCGAACACAGCTGCAATACTTTCCTTTTTCTTGTTGTGACTTCCCATCACTATTCCTCAATTGAATACAGTATTCACTCATCAGTATCGTACATCTGGAAAGTGAGGGGAAATCACAAATTGTGAAGAGGATATACCTTCGACTTCAATCTTCCTAATTTCTCCCAGGACGGCGTCATTAGTGCTGGATATTATGATATCTACAAAAATGCTCAAGGAAACTACCACTGGATATTTCTCGGTTTTGTTACGGCAGTGTTCCGCGGATTGGAACTCCCTGCACTAGCACTTATTTTTGGTTACGTTTTCGAAGCATTCGCAATGGTTCCGTGGGGAGCCGATATGATGCACAGGTATGATAGAAAGTTGGTTTTGAGATGACCTTGAGTTGGTTGACTCGGTCCCTAACGGCACAATCTACTATTACCCGTTCTTTCTTTGATTCATCCCGTTTTAAATGCCTTACAACACTAGAAAGAAAGGAGAAATTCCTAGAATAGAACTCATAGGAGGAATAAATCGCGAAATTCTACGTAGGAATTGTGATTGCGTAAAACAACTGCATGGCGAACTTTTGCACCAATGCAATTGCATCGTCAGAAAAGTTAGGCAGCGCCAAAACGCATCTTGCCTTGTGAAGTGGCCTGCTATTAATTGCTTCAAGAAACGTATCCCTCGGAGGCAGAGCAAGTCGTGTGCCGAAGTTGCACGCTGAGCACGCACATGAGTCTTCCTACGACGATAAAAGCGACGCGGGCTGTAACTAGCGGTGAAGTTCGTTGTATTGTAGCAAAAAAATAATATCGTGAAAGGTCACGCGCCTCTTGCCGCTTTATCTCATGTTCTCATGTGACGAAAGCGGTAACCCTTCGCGAGTGCTGGCCTGACTAACTAACTAGTGCACAGGGTCATTTCACGGATCACTTGTGTGTAGTGTGATGTGATGTCCAATGTGTTGTTAGTGTGGATTCTCGTTCATAGTGAGAGGATAAGAGCGACCCCGGTGGCGTAACGGATAGCGCCTTGCCCGAAAAAGTGATGTGCAGGTTCTACTCCTGCCTGAGCTTCGACTTTTGCCCATAACTAAGCATTGTTTTGAGAACTTTCGGAACGCGAACTGCGGCGAAAACAGCAGTTATCCCTCCGCTATCGCTGTGGGATAAATAGCTTTTCGACACAGGAGGAGAGCATTTGTGGACCTCAAACGCCGGCGGACAGTTAGAAAGTCAGAGCTCTTTGTGGAAAAGGAGACTCTCGAAAGTCTATGAGAAGGAACATGAATCTTATCCTCGAAAACTCACTATTGAATATATTGGAGTGAGGGCACGGTGTGAATATCTTGGAACCGGGGAAAAGGCTCCGTCTCTCACGGAATTTGCCCAGTTCTTCCTCGGGCTTCAAAATGAGAAAATAAGCTTGTGATGGCCAGTAGGGGCACCCTAATATGCCGAAAGAGCCAAAATGTCGAGCCCAAGACAAGGTTCTGGACACCAAATTAGGAGGAGGCACTAACCATAGGAAATGTCCTGACCAAGCAGCTGTTGCGAGAAAAGCGTCGATCCCTGAAGTGCGTGGGCACCAGCTCTTGGAAAGGAACCTTTGACATATCGTATTCTTGTCGTCTGCGTCTGCTCTCTTGGGATCCATTCTACCCTGACTTCCGCCAGCCCTAAATGGCTCTGCAGCTCTCAGATGTCTTCTGCTTGTTTCTGCAGGCTCTCTATGTTTCTACCAACTTTGCAAATCCTACATGCTGCCTGGTTATCACACCTGACTAGTGCTCGTGCTGGAATCCGTCACTAGTGTCTCCGGAAAGGTAGTGAGCGCTTTGATGTCGCCTCTCTGTTTGAGTACTGCCCCCACCGAGTGTGCTGACGCATCCACTCTATGATAAAATTGGGTTCGGGTGGCTTTGCTGGCGGGTACAGCGATACTGATAATCCCGTTGTTAGGCTGCCTATCCAGTAAGATATCTCCCTCCTTTATCTGCTAGACAATGTCCACCTGTAACTGAGAGAATACTCACGAGAATACTCTTGTGCCTCTGCCACCGATGCTGTCAAAGCTCTGGATTGCCTCCTGTTCAAACTTGAAATTACTATACTCATTGAAGCCAACCTGCCCATTCATCTCATCCTGGTATGTAAGGATGGAGCTCTCATGCGTGCGCTTTAGTATAGCTAGAGCTTTTTTAGTTCTATCCATTGAGATGAAGATCTCATAATAGAAACAAAGAAAAACAAACATTGGGAAAGGAATACACTCCAAGGCACAGATGATCCGTTTCGCCCGTTATCGCAGACGAATCACCGATGTCTTACCAACCCCCGGGCTCGTCAGTGCGACAGGGTTGACGACATAGGCATGGACTACATAGGGGAAGGTGTAAAGGAATAGCATAAATGAAAAAAAATGTGTAAAAAAAGGTTTAAATGCAAAATTCATGCAATAAAGATGAAAAGGAATTGTACAGGAAAAATGAAGGAAGGATATAACAGGAGTGAGTAGCGACTACTTGTAAGAAGAAGAAAAATGGTTTGTTGTAGATGGGCCAAATGAGCTAAGGGAATATTGCAAAAAGGACACTGTCGCAGCGGATAACAAAAACTTAAAATCAAAGATTGTAGTGGTAAAACGAGAACTAGGGTGGAACACCGCTGCCAATGAGAATTTCTCTAACTAGTCTACTTATCTTTCTATAGTTATTTGCAATTGAGTATTTGTAACTTATGAATTTATTTTTGTAAATACATTTCACAGTGCTAGTAATTATAAAATCTACTTCGTAGCCATTTTTCGAAAGAGTCGCGACCATATCCGTTATTTTGTTTACGAATATATCGAAGAACGAACAAGTATTTGCTAACCTCAACGTTTCCGTATATATAATAGAGGCTTTGTTAATAAGGGAAATGTTTGTGTCACTATACGGAAATCTGATTACATTCAAGCTATCAGATTCCAAATTTATAACGAAACCTAACCTTTTGTCTCTGCTGCTGGCAGCCAGTTGCACTTCCCTTGTGCTTCAAACCATCCAAAACTTTTGAGATCTTTCCGAATGTCTTTTGATACTCTCTCGCATTCTTCCCTGGAACATCCCCATATAAGACCGTCATCCAGATGCATTGCTATTCCCTTGCCTTCTCCCCCCCCCCTCCATTTTTGATTAGTGGTCTGAGCAATTTGGTGAATATGTGCGGGGCGGAGGAAAGGCCGAAAGGAAGAACTGTGAATTTATAGAGTGAGTTACCTCATTCAAATGTCGAAAGATGACATGTATCCCCTTGAGGGAACGAGGCGCTTTATTCTCTCCAAATCGTCGAATTTGACGTTCTCTTTGGTTATGTATTTGTTCAGATAGGAAAGGTCCAGAACGAGTCGTAATTTCTTACCCTCTGCTACACTGAGTGGATGGATCATGAGGTCCATCGGTTGACTTTGAGCCACAATTTGCACTGCACCGTTAGTCACTAATTCTGAAATAGTATCATCCACAAACTTGGCATTATTCAATGCCGATTTACGATTCTCAACACTAGATGGAGGCTCAGGAGCCTCGAAGGGACTGTATATCCGTACAAAATGGTATCGAGAACCAATGAATTAGGTTCGAGAGCCTTCCACATAGAGATGTGATCGAATTGAACCTGCGTAATAGTTACCATTTGCTGTTTGGGCATTCGTCTACAGTGACCGTGACCTTCGTGACCGCATAAAAAGGGCTTCGAGGCTTATCGAACCTTTCTCTACGGTACTTTTGGTGAGGCGCTCGAGCCGGGAAACTGCGTCTACATCCTTGTCTATCCCGGACTGGTATGGCTTGAATCCAGAGGCGTAGCTAAAGGAGCGGGAATCGGGTCGCCACGCCGAGTTCCTACCGCGAAGCCGATTTGAGGCCTCAGGAGACGTCATTCTCTCCTTTTTAATATTCTTCTTCCTTCTGTACTTGCTCGAAAAATTCGAAGAAAAAAGAATCAGTCTACTGCTTCGGTTTGTTTCTTGCTGTCGAGAAATGAAAATACCTGGATGTTTAGCGACAATTCTTAAAATCTCGTTTCTGACTTGGTTGCATTCAAAACGTACTATCTCATCGTCCTCCTTCCTCATCCCGTTCCTGTTGATTTTGATGAGGCTCTGCATCACGGATAGGTTGAACTCGTACTGGGATGCGTAGCCCTTACGCGCCATTGAAGGGTTTGGGGGACCGGCTGAGTGGAAGCTGATGGCTGATCTTCCCTAAGGGCAGCGATATCCGAAAACCCCAGTAATCAAATTCTGCTGGCTCCACATGCTGGTCCACGTCCATAGGTTCTTCAGCCTCCATGATGAGATATCTGATGAAATTGCTAAAAATTATTAGATGAGCTAATTGGCCACAAAAAGTAATAGAGTAGTGCTGAGAATCTAAAATGTCACTGTACAGAATTCCAGATTTGATCAAAAAGTTGTTGAGTAGCAGCTTCGATTTTGACCACTGTCCAAAGCCGGTAGTACGCTGAATATGAGAAACACTTCTCCTAGGATCTGCGTGCTCACAAAATTACTAGATTGATTTCTACTTCAATGTGCTATCGATACTCAAGAAGCGAAATGTGATCGAAAACCGTAAACGGACTGAGCGATGGATGGATCGGGACAGATCCTAGAATCTCGAATCATCTTACACAGTCGATAGCGCCTGTGGGCTTGACGCCATACCTGTCTCCGAAAAACCTGTCGATGATGCTAGGCCGAGAATATGTCCGAAATGTTAGACGTCCAAAACTCGGGATGTTAACTCCCGGATGCCGCAGCTCTTGGGCCAAACAAGGCCTGGACTGAAGTCCCTTACTGGAACATCGTAAACACCATGTTATTCATCGCTCCTGCGTGAGGACGTGATGAAATCGTCCTCACGAGATGTTGTACCGTCAACAATATCTGCAATGATGAAACTGTTCTTCCCTAATTCGAAAAGCAACATTTATCATAACAAAAAACTCCTATGGTGCTCTTTTCCCAGTCTCTCTCTCTGCCGGGATTTTCATTGTAGGATGAGCTCTCGCGCTCTTATGCCAGTCCAGTGACCACGATCAACTGTAAGTGAAGGTCGGTCTTACTGGGACAGATGTTTTCTGTTTTATTCTTCAGCAGTGAATCAAAGAGCACCTTCTTCTGTTATTGAACCGACTCGCAATCGCAGAGTGTACCTTTTAGTAGGATGTACTGTTTGGAAATACGTCAAATATTTCAGATTATGCATGGCTGTTATTATATTCTCGTCCGTCGGTCTCGGTGTCTTGATCTTCCAACTTCTGAGCGTTAGTCTTATGAATTATTCATTAGCGTTTCTGCTGACCTCGATTTTCTCCGTTTTATGCGTGCTACGATTTCCTCTCTGTCGGCAGTGCCGCAAAATAAAAGTTTCCGGTAGATAATAGAAGCAGGGCTTATCATTAGTTGGAGATTTTGGTCGAGTCCGTGCCTCCCTCCCTGGGGGTGGCAGAATACGGCTCCTCCCTACCCCTTCCCCTCCCCTGATACTATCGACCTGTCGAGCGGGGAGTGGGTGGGAAGGGGGGGGAGAGTATATAGCAGATGTGAAACAGGGAAAACCGCGAAAAAACAACAATCAGGAAAAATTTTTCCAAATCGAAAATTGCTCTTGGAGGGCAAATACTACCCTCTCTCCCAACAACGAGCAAATCGACCCCCCCCCTCCCCCCTCCTCCCCTTATAGCGTCCGTGGAACAAGAAACATCAAGTATCAAAAAAATTTCTCGCACACAGTACGACTCCCTTACTTTCCCCAGCGCCCAGATAAGGTCCCCCTATTAGGAAATTCCCATTGATGATATGCCCTGGTTAAGAGAAGGTGGCTCCCTCCCTCCGCTTGACGCAAACTTGGAAATGTTGGAGACGGGCAAATTAGCAAATTCTCCCCTAATCCAGAACGTGCTTACTTTTGCTGCTCGAAGTGTAATCTTGCGAAAACCGCACTCACTCGCAAGCTCCCGTACATGCAAGTCCAAGGGACTGACGATGTCAGGAACCATTTTCATGTCCCTGAAATATGCAAATTGTGTGAGTGATCAAACTGGAATCGATCCATCCTGCGAGCCACATCTGCTGTACATGACACCTTGTTTCGATTATAAGTCGAAACTCTCCTCCCACTTTCACGATTCTTTCCATGTAGCGGTGGCATATAAAAGAATGCAATGAAAACACTTCATAATTCTGTCGAGAAACTAGTTCCGCGAATTTTGAAGGAGTTTGACATCTCAAGGTGTGTGGATAAGTGCGCACCACATTGCAGGTCGCCGAATCGACCTGGTCATCCTTCCTGGCAAGCCCTATTAGGGATCTAGTGTTTTCGCATGTACACTAAGATCCCCAATTTAGGGATATATATATCCACATGGCCTGCCAGCAACGGTCCACAGTCCACCCGTTCACTGGCAGGGTGGTGTACATGTATGTGCGTCTTTGATGCTGAGTGTGAACCTTCCTTCAAGATTCAAAAAGCGTTTCTCTGAACGGAATCAGAGTATGTATCTGCTATTCATTTCAAGAAAAGCATGAGCGCGCGGTCTGGCACATGGGTGTGAAAGAGGTGGTAAAAACATCATTATTTCAGAGTGTGTTTTTTTCAATCGTCTCAGAAAACTTGGCAATGCGATTTCGAGTGCAGTCGTTCAGGAATCTCCTCCACCAGGTAGGAAGTGAAGTTCTGAACTATCTACAGTAAGTAACTTCCTCTCATAGACAAAAATCATTCAGATGTTGTGTCAATTTGTCTTACTGACTTACATATTGGTGAATGTGATAAAACCGTTTCCATACATCACGACTGTAGCGCTCACTTCACGAGACTACGACCGACCGCGCTCTTGCGCCAACAATTGCACCACTGCAGAGGTAGCACTGGTCGCGTTGGCATTTGGAGCCGCCCAAAGATTAGCCGTGGAGCACGATCTGCCGAGATAGTGAATGGGTTGCGAAATACAACCGCGGTCTGATAGACCTCAGCTGCATAGCTTTGAGAGTTTGGCGCGACTTATGAAAGCTTCGCTCATACTATATTGAAGTTTCGCAAGACTTCGCAATTCTCCACAGAAAGGCTTGGCACGCTGATGTTGGGACCGAGCGCTTGGTAGCGATGGAGTGTGGCCGTTAACAGTCGTTCGGCTTTAAAATTGTGCGATTGTATTGTTCTAGTCGAAAGTTGTGAACGCCTCAGCCATCCTTCCAAAACCTTGAAGATATGCTGTAGTAGAAACCTCATCTACTGAGTCACCAGGTCTCACTTGAATATGAAGGGCAGGCTGACAAGAACCAACAAAGAGACTAGTGGCTTACGAAATACCTGTCGCATTCCCCTAGAGCAAACTATGCACGAAAGTTTCTGCCCAAAAATATATCAGGTAATATTTGGCACTGCAACAGTGAAAACCAACTGATGAAGTCCCCGGCCCGTGTTCTGTCCCATTGGTGTGTAGCAATGAAGGCTTGCGATCGACTGTGATGGGGTAAAATAATAGGTATCTCAACGATGACCAAGGCGACAAAAGAAAAGTTGTCTGATGATGACCTCGATTGTTTGATATCAATTGCAGATCATCCAAAAACGTCTCTTCTCCACCCTTTTTCATGCTCACACTATGGCAATTAAAGGGACTGCGTGAAATGATTATGTCGCTATGACCCTCCGACAAGGATGGTATCGATACGATACTCTTCCAGCACTGTGAACATGTTGGCGAATTGAGTCTCACAAGAGTGGTTATCCAGGCAATGGACCACATTTCAGAGATGATTTGTTGCATGTTGTAGAAGTCCGTACAAAGATCATTAAGAAAGGATTCACTTTTGCTCTGCGTTCTTGTAAATGCCAGTGCTGGTCGCACCTTTTTGCTGTGGGCTAATGCCGTTTGGACTCCAACGATTTCGGCATCGAGCTCAGTTTTCAGTTGCCTTAATCACCAAACCCGCTGAAACATGTACACAAGGGTTATTTAACATCGTGATTACAATTATTACACTCATTCTTGGCGCTAGCGCCAAGAATGACACTACGATTACCTCCTGGGCCTAGCCTTAGCAGAGCGCACATAATCGTAGTGTCATCCATTAGCGTCAGCGGC